TACATGTATTTGTGTGAGAGAGAGAGAGAGAGAGAGAGAGAGAGAGAGAGAGAGAGAGAGAAGAAGATGAGGGGACAGGACAAAAGAAGCAGGCATTACGAGTTCAAAACAACAACAATAGAAATGGGGGGGAAAAAAAGAGGTCGACTAAGAAGAGATGTAGGCCCCACTAGTGTATGGCGCCGAGAGGTAGCAGAGGTCAGGGCATAAAACGTGGAGCCAGCTGGAGAAAATGATCTAGAATCGAGAGATGTGTAGAGAGCTCTTGTCGGCGGCCTACGTCACAGGCGGGACCACAGGCCTACATAAGTATACAAATGTAGTAAGAAACAATACAAATATCATTCTACAACAACAACAACAACAAGAAAAACAAAAACAACAACAACAACAAGAATAAGAACAACAACAACAGTAGTAGAAGCAGTAGCAGCAGCAGCAGCAGCAGCAGCAGCAGCAACAGCAACAACAACAAATCGCTGTTTTATGTTTTGTTTTAGTAGAGGTTTACGGCGCTCGCAACTGCAAAAGGTCATATTATGAGCGCCAAGGGGTGGATGTTAACAGAAAAGTCCTTACACGAAATAAGGCTTACTCTGCTCACTTCTTCAGCATCAACAGCACAAAGTCTGCTTCGACTATCATGGCACTCCAGAAATAGCGGGCCACAAGAGTGTAACAAACATACAAAAGAAGTAGAGGCAAAATGACGATAGTAAGGATTAGGAAAGAAAAAGCAGCAGTTCAGGCACAGTTCTGAGCATGACATTGATGAATCAGCCCATTTACAATTTCAATTCTACTGTGCATAAGAACTCGAGATGTTAATGTCCCTCCCCCCCGCCCACCCCGCCCTTTTTTAGAATGGCCTAAAGACACTTCAGTCAGTAGCACCGCCCCGGGGGTACCAACAACAAATCAACAGCAGAGGACGAAACCACAAGCAACAAAGAGACATTACTCGAAAGTACCGGTCACTGAGACCCGGAAAAAGCAAGAAGGCGACAGACAGAGAGACATAACAAGCCATTTTGTTATACAAGATACTCACATTAACACTGGCCTTGGAGTCATACAGAGGAGATTTAATCACGTAGGACTGCGTGGCTCTGTCGGCAAACAGGTGCACTATGGAGATTCCCTCTGGCACATTGTCCTGCGATTTAAAAGGAAACAGTACAGGACATTCACCAAAATGCCCAGATAAAATAAATGACTCATAAAACATGTACGAGACGCCACAAACAGAACTTATAATATATACCTAGAATGGGATTGGAAAAATGTGTCTTCTTATGAGTCTCAGTCGGGGTGACTTTTTGAGCCTGTTACCGATTAAAACACACACACACACGCACACATTATATAAACAAAACCATACACACATCCATCCATGCATCCATCCGTCCGTCCGTCCGTCCGTCTATCCATCCATCCATCCATCCATCCATCCCTAACTATCTATCTATCTCTCTACACACACATACAAATATAGCCACACACACACACACACACACAACACACACACACACACACACACACACACACACACACACACACACACACACACAAACAAGCACACACGAACGAACATAATATACAAAAATCATTATTATAACGGTATTATAAACAAAATATGAATAATATAGGCCTACGTATAATTTATAACATATTGCTCATACAGATAGGAAAGTACCAAAGAGAGACCAGAAAAGACCTGCTGTTGCACACCAACCTGAAATAGGTAGAGAGCCTCCAACAGGATGTTGATGGTGGAGGTGGTTGACCCTCGTATGTCTGCCACCACAGCGAGACCTTTGCCGGACTGGCATTTCCTGGGTCAAACAACAAGTAACACAACATGGGATGAGTTAAGTGGGGATAAATGAAACTGAAAATGTAAGATTTTTGTTGTTGTGTTTCTGTCTCTTCCTTGTGTAGCGATGTTACGTTATTTACCGTACTTATTCAGATCCTCACGGTCAATGTGTCTTCTTATGAGTCTCAGGTGTGGTGGCTTCTTGAGCTTGTTACCACTAAACACACACACACACACACACACACACACACACACACACACACACACACACAAACACACAGTCAATGAAAATCTGATATCAATCCGATCATAAACATGGCAACCGAAAACGCCCCCAATTCCGCTTTTAAAAAAATACAAAAACAAACACATCAACACCCCCTTCCAAAAACAAAACAACCCAACAAACAAAAAGTGACGGTAATAAACCTGTTATTCCAACAGTACAGAACGGACTTTCCCCATACAGTTCCCGATTCACACCAAAACGTCGCTGGATTGACTGTCTGTTAATTAAACCTATCCGTACGCCCTGGGGTCGTTGTGTACCCCCGGGGATGTATTCTTTACATTTTAGAATACTTCTAGTACGAAGATCTCTTTGACACTTTCAGTATTTCTCAAAAAATCATTTTGAAAAACTGCTAGGCAAAGCGCACGGACCGGACTAACGAGTAAATTTCCTCTTTGGAAAGTGGTGGCACAGCGTTCCCCACGTCGTATGGATACGATAGTAAAACACGAAGTATGGACAGGGAACACCCTCAGAGCCCACGACCTGACCCTCCTCCTCCAAGCCCCCCGACTTGCAGCTGACCGACTATTTTGTCTCTCCTCGCGACACCCATCGGTACCAACGGAAGGACAAAAAGTCAAAGTCAAAAGTATGTGTGTAGGTGGTGGGTGGACACTCTGCACGGTGCAGTCTGCCCCACCTTTCCTACCAAGAATCTGTCGTCCTTATCTCTCCTCCTTTTTTGTGTTTGTTACTCTCTTGTAACACATCTAATCTTCGACACATATGTTATGACCTTATTGGGGTGCAGCTGTCGTAAAACTGTACTCAAACTTTATTTTTTTAAACAAGTCTACTGCGGGCAAAGACAAAGAACAAAAGCACTTGAGGTAGGGGGGGGGGGATGCTCTCGAAGCCTAATAGAGGTTAAAGTGTTCGACTTTCATTCAATAGGCCCCGGGTTCGAATCCGGATAGCGACGGAAATTTTTCTTATCTAAATAGTGTTTCTTTTCACCTCCTTTCCTGCTCTTTAGCAATGTTCTGTTGTCTGCTTTCGTCTCCCTTTTCTGCCCCCACTCCCTCACCTCCTTTGCCCCCTTCTCTGGGCTCCTGACTCTTTCTGCAGCTTTTCTACTGAGACTAATTTTATGGTAGGATAAAGACCCACACCTAGCCTCTTCGGACAAGGGCAAAAAATCTCAGAGGGCCCGTGTGCAAGTTGTACACGTTAAAGATCCCTTGGTGGTCCAAAATCGATAAGAGTATGCTTTGGCCGCCACCGTGCAAAATTCAAAATTTCCTAACAACTGAAAATGTTTAATGTGTCCCGCGTGCTCATAATGACCTTACGCAGTTGCGAGCGCCGTAAAACAGTAATTACAAAGAATAAAAGCACCTGACCACTGCATGAGGCCTGTGACTCACCTGGGCACGGTGTGGTAGTAGATGAGCAGTTCGGCCAGCTCTGTGCTCCTCACCCGGCGCTCCTGCCACAGACTGCTGCACGTGAAGATGTACACCAGGCTACGCCTATCCTCGTCACGACAGCCTGCG